CTCCGTGGCCAGCCGGGGCTGAGGTCTCCCCATGGCCCAGAGAGGTTATTCAGCATCTGCCTGGAGCGTATCTCACCCCCGGCACCGAGGAGCCGTCTCCTACTGCAGCCCGGGCTTGCAGAGTCAGCACTTCCACTGCATGGGGGCAAGAGCCTGGGGCCGTGCCCCAGCCGCCGCCCGAGTCACTGTGGGTCTCAGCTTCAGGGGCTGAGAAGCTGCTGGCAGAAGCCAGAGGCGGAGGAGAAAGCCCTGGCTCAGCACTTTCCTCTCTGTGGCATTTTCCCATCTAGAAAAATCCAATTGCTTCTTGCCGGTGCACCTTTCAACCCAGCTCTTCCGGGCACTGCTGGGGATGCCCTGGGCCAGCGGCAGCCAGGGATGTGGCCAGTGTGGGCCTGCTGGCCAAATGTGCCTTGTTGGTGATGTGGGCAGCAGCTTCCTCTAAAACCATGTGGCCTCAGGACACCTGGGTTCTTTTCCTGGCTCTACTGCTGACCTGCTTCTGGGCCCTTCCACCCTCGGGGTGCCAGGCTGTCTCAAGGTGTCAGTGGGGCCCGGCTCTTTCCTGGGGGCCCCAGGTGCTGCTGTTCCACAAATAACACATACTATTTGCTGCTGTGGCCAAATACGCCCATGGGGAACGTCTGTGAAATCAGGGGGTCGCTGTGGATGCTCTTCCCTTGGCCTTCCTAATGGACAAGCCTCGCAGTGCGGAACCCACTTCCCCGGGGCTTTCTGAGAGCGAAGGGTTGAAACGCTCCTGCTGGTGGCCGGGGGCTGCTCTCCATTCGGCTCCTGGTTTTCTGCTAGTCTGCCCCTCTCTCCAGTGCTCCCCACTGCACCGGCCCAGCCCCGCCTCCCCCAGGTAACAGCCCGTGTTTGCTAATCACCGTGCGGCGTCTGAGCACCGAGCTCGCTTCATGCAAAGGGCTGGGGGACACACAGAGCCCACTTCCTGTGAATGCAGGTGCCTAAGGCGGGTGTTTTGGCCCAGAGCCTCAGCCTGGCAGCCAAGCACAGAGCCACTGCCTTGGGGTGATGACCAGAGGGGTCCAGGTGCCCTCAGCACCTTACTCATTGACTGCTGGCAAGAGGGATCCATGTGCCCTGGAAAAGACCCCAACAGCTCCCAGTGAGCCATAGGGGGCACCTGGGCTTTGACCTGCCAGCTCCTGGTCTGATCTCACTGGAGAGCGGGCGAAACTCTGATCCCTGAAGGAGCAGGAGCCTCTGTGCTGTTGGCTGCAAAACTCAGTAAAAACCGTCCCACTTCCATAGGGCTGGATTGGACTGCGCCCTCCCGGCGCCCCTGCTGCGGGAGCGAGAACCCCCCTTGGTACTGAATTGGCCCCGTGCTCCCTGGCGCCCCCTGCTGTGGGAATGAGGTTTGTTCCTTTGGTGAGGAGCGCTGGGGCGAAGGGCCTGGGGCAGCCATGTGACCCTCTCTGTGCCCCTCACAACTCTCCAGGCCCACACGGGTTGCAGGGCCCTGGGGGGTAATGTGACCAGAGATCCTGGCACAGCGTGCACAAGTGCTGAGCAAGCTTTCTCTGCCCTGCTCTGCCAGTGTCCCACACCCCTGGGAGGCAGACCCTGCACTCTTCTGGTCCCGCCCCCCAACTCTGCAGTGCCCCTAAGCTCCCATCACTCCTTGCTGCTCCCGTCCAGAGCTCCCCCAATAGCTCTGACGCTGCCCCTCCCTGCCACCCCACAGTCCCTCTGCTATCCTTCCCCCGGGCCTTCTGAGCAGAAACCTGCCGCCCCAAAAGGTCCCAGAATGATGGGGTAGGCCCCTTCGGATCCTGAAATGTGTCAACTAACTAACTAACTAACTAACCCACCCAGGAGGGTCTTTTCCATCCCCTTCAGCTTTCCCCACAGTCAGGAGGAACCTCCCTTTGGGATTTTTAAACAAAAGCGGAGAGGACTTGAGGGCAGGAGCCGCGGCTGTAGGAGCCCACCTCCCCCACCCCATTCTCAGGCCTCTCTGTGCAGAGATTTTCCACCAGGAGGCGCCAGGCTGAGAGGACCCCACACGCTCAGTCTTGTAGCCAGAGAGTGGCCTGGCCCCTGGGTTTGTGGCAGGGGGATGCGGGGGGGGGGGTGCGAGAGAGACGGCTTCCTCTGAGCCATGGGGGATCCAAGAGCCAGCTGTACATGGGGCTGCGTGCGAGATCTGCCCTCATGCAAGCTGGCAGGGGAGTGGGGACAAGGATTCTGGGACCCTCCTCTTACCCAGCGTAATCGGTTTGCTGTCCTCCTGGTCCGAGCCAATCCCTGTCCTCGGGCTACTGCTTTGCTCCGAATCTGAAAGGAAAAGCTGGGCATGAGGCTTTGCAAGCCAGCACCCCCTGGCCAGCCCCGATCCCTCCCTCCTGAGGCCCCTCCTGACCCCATGCACCGCTCTGAGCAGCGCCCCCTACTGGCAGAGCCCTGCCATGCCACTGCCCCCACGGTGCTCAGGATGGCAGGCTGCTAGGTGCAATGTCTGTGCCAAGGCAGCCCTGCCCATGTGGAAGGGGGGTGCTGTGCTGAGGCAGCTGGCCCCACAGAGGTTGCACATCTGCCTTGCTCCCAGCCTGAGGCTGCCCCACAGGGGCCCCCCAGCAGGAGCTGCGGGGGAGGGGGGGAAGGAGAGTGGGGAGTGGTGGCAGAGGGTTGAGTCTGCCCCCAATGGCCCAACTGCCCCCATCCCCTCGCCCCCTGATTCATTCCACCAGCTCTCGGTGCTCAGTGCACCCCGAAGGCCGTTTCGAATGGCTGGGGGGGACTGGTGGGCACTGGCTCTGGTGAAGTTACTGCCTCCCACCAGCCCCAGTTCTTACACGCCCCAGGTAGACGGCTCCCATCAGCTGACACGGGTGTGGAAACCGAGGCATGGCAATTCGGGAAAGGGTTCCCATGCCCAGCCACAGAAAGCAGCCCTCGCTGGGATGCACCACAGCAGTCACTGCGTTCTGGACACCAAACACGCACACGGCTCACTCACACAGCACTGAAATGCGGCCACTTCCGGGGGGCGGGGAACGGGACGGGGCGGGCTGGCCCAGCGGGATACCGGGAATTTCCCAATGGGCCGTCGTCTGGTGGGCTGTCATGTCTGCACGCCATTGCCCCTCACTCGGAGCAGCTCTGTTCTCAACCCATTTCCTGGGTTTTTTTGATTGCCGGTACACTTCTGCCCCTACCCCCTTGCTGTCCCTGAGGGGGGAAAGCTTAGGCTTATCGAGTAGTTGAGTACTTGACTACTTGTTTACGGTGGTCTTGGGGGCGGACATGGCAAACGTAACAGTGCACAGGGACGTCAGGCCGGGCAAGAGGAACATTGCGCTCAAATCGAATTACGGGGGGGGGGGGGGGACACGGAATGACGGGGACAGAAAAC